TGGTCTATTTATATTAGGATTTAAGTCTTTGCAAACGGCGAAAGGACAAAAAACAATACTACTTTAATCACCTGAAGAGGAGGTAACGAGAAAAGCTGTGACCTACCCAACTCAATCTTTTCAATAGATGTGGCCTCTTTATTTGAGAATGGAGCTGATTCTAAGGTATTCTCACGACTCATAGCACCTTCATCCCTTTACACGAACTCAACTCACTTACTGCTCTCACTGGTCCTTCTAGCGCATGCATGGAGAAAACAAACCAAACAAACACACAAAAAACACCTGAAAGGTACGCAAAAGAATTCCACTGTCTCCTGGCAGCCTTGACTTTTACTCCAGCAGTCACTGCCAGCATTCTAATTCAGCACTAATGCTTCCACGTTGCTAAATACAGCTTTTAAGTTTCAGACGACCACTTTTGCTTCCAGGTTTAACAAAACTCAGCGAAATTGTTACAAAAGCTACCAAACTCAAAGAGGTGGGTGGGGAGATGAAAGAATGCATCAGGGTTGCTGAGACTGACTGATGTGGTATCTTTTTTTTCCCCCATCCACATGGACAATATGATCATAAGTGGGAATTAATATTATCAATATGTTCAGATCCAGACACGGGGCCAGTCTTTTTTCTAATAGCTCTCCAGACTGTGTAGTTCTGACCTCCGAGAATGAGTGCTGCACTGAGCTTCCCTCTCTGCCCTCGTCCAACCTTCTGTGAGGGTTTCTGCAATTCAGAAAGAATCCCCAGCCCGCAGCAGTAACGCTAAGAAAACATCAAGTCTGGGAAGGCCCACTTGCAGGTATCACTTGCTAGCTGGAGACACAGGTGGTGGAGGAGTTAGATTAAAGCCCAAACAAGGAAGTCGAGCTCCTTTTCATCAGAGTCCAGACTAGGTGAGAAGAGGCTGAAATAAAAGGTTTGAAAGGTAAAGGACAGCAGCTGAGGGAGTGTCCCTTGAGTGGTGTCAGATCATTGCAGCACATGAAGGGGCTGCGGTACCATCAGGGATTTGGGGAGAGTGGGAGAGGCTTGGAAGAAGTGTTGTGTGAGATCTCATGAGTCAAGGAGAAATACATAAAAGGACTGTGGAGAAGCAGGAGAGCCACAGCTTAGGGCAGATGTCTTGACAGTATAATGGACTCAATCAGGGATTTGTGATTTTTTTAGAGAAGCTCAACAGGCCGCAAGTAGACATAGAGGGCTTGTTCAGTGGAGGTCATATGTAGCTATGGAAATTAGAAAGCCTGCAGCAGCTTTAGATGGCAAGAGATTTCTGAGTGGAAGTGAGTTCCCTGTAGATACGGGTAAGAGCAGATGAAGGTTTGTGGACCAGGAGACCAGGGACAGTTGACGGAGGTTTTCCTTAAAAACAAAGAGCAGCTTTCATGCACCTTGTGGGAGAGAGATGGAAGGTCAGATGCTTTCACAGGTAGAGACCTTGGCTGGTGGAGATCTTGGTGCAGTTCCTACTGAGGATGCAGTACATCTACACTAGTGGGTAGATGATGAAGAATGATGTAAAGGTTACTAGAATACAACTGGGCAAAGGAACTGTGAATAAGAGGTGACTTTGAATTTGAGAGGATGAGGGGAATAAAAGGAGGGGAAAGAAAGACCACGAGGCAGGTACTGCTAGGGTGGAGATTTGAACTAAGGGGACTCTGTGCTGAGGAACTGAAGTGGGTAATGGATCACAGAGTAACAGAATAAAGAAAAACAAACCAAAAGGCCAGCCCAGAAGTAGAGCGATGCCCCAGAAGAGGTCAGGGATATGAGACGTATTGGAACTTTTCCTCTTAGCCTTGTGGTTGGTTAGGGGTGTGGTCCTCACTGCAGGGACTGTAAGTGATACATGTTAGTTGGGAGATCCAGCTGCAGTTAATGTGAGCAGGTGAAGGAATGGGTGAGAAAATGATTTGAGGATACAGGAAAGTTTGTCCTAAGTAGGATTAAAGTTCCAAAAAGACCCCTGAAATTGTTTAGTGTAATAGATCTTAACCTTGGTTGCACAGTAGAATAACCCAGGCAGTGCTCAAACAAACAAAAAACCAAACCGAATACCTACACCAATCAGATCAGAACCTTTGGGTTGGGACCCTCCAACAAGTCTCTCTTTAAAGCTTCCCAACTGACTCCTGTGTGCGCTGGATAGAGAATTATTATTTAGGATTTAGGACGAGCATAAGTGAGGAGTGCGGTGGGCCTGAAGGAGGAGGTATTTGGAGAAGAGACGCAAAAGACAGTATTTATGGGTAAATTAGAGGAGCAGGGCCATGGGAGAGAGGCTGGCGGGAACACCAGCAGGCGAGGTGCCAAGAGGGCAGAATTTAGGTAATGAAGGGCCTTTCTGAGTTAATCGGCCCCAAAGTTCCAATTCAAGCACGGGCATGAGGCAGTTTTGGCTGGACTGAGCTGTCTCTTCGGTATGTTGGTTTACCTGTAGCTAGGATTTTGGTATTTCTGCATTATTAAACGATCATGAGGTACAAGAAAGCCTTATCCATTATTCATGTTTCTTTCAGGCTAAGTGCTGGATCCCCAGATGCTGAGAATTTATACATGTCTATTTGGAAAGCACTGACCATGATATAAACTGCTCTTGGGTTGTTTTTACTTCTCAAACCTGTTTGTCAGTCTTTCTCATCTCTTTTCACTTATTAACATCATCAAAATTATTTTATGAAATATTACTTTTTTTGCATGGATTGTATGTGTGTTGAGAAGAAAGGTCGAGAGTGACTGAGTATAAGAACTATTTGTGTGAATATAAAATGTGTATCAGATATTTCAAATATGATGTAGATCTTCTACAGATGCTTTTTGCAATGACTTTTCTTTGAATTATTAAGAAGATTTGCCTTAATCAGACCCCATGGCTCGCCTACAAATACAGTTCTTCCTAAGAAGGATTTAAGCCTACGATGATTTCTATCCAGACAGTGCCTTAACAGTATCGCATTTGCAAGGAATACAAAAGAAATAACCTTAAGCTTTACACTAGAGCTGTGTGTTCGCATCATTTATTTAACATCAGAAACTCCTACAGGCTCAACCATCAAAAATATACCCAGGGACCGAATATGTCTCATCTCCTCCATGGACACAACCTGCAACACTCAGTTTTCATGACCCAGAACTATTCTCTGGATGGAAACTCCAGAAGGAAACACCCTGAATTTCAGAAAAACAATAATTCTTCTCTTGGCTTCCTAGATGCGTCTTTCTCCTACTTCTCCCCTTCCTCCTCTGGGTACTCCTCTTTCTGTAGTTCTTTTGCTGGCTGCCCCCCTCCTCCCTTGCAATGGCAGGGCTCCCCTGGTCCCTGTGCTCTAGGGTGTGGCTCTCTGAGCAGCCCACTTTAGGAGCAGAGTCCAGACTGCAGCCAGCTGCCCAGGGAATGAAGCCTGCTTTCTCCACCCAGCAGCTGTGTGGCCTAGAGCAACTTACTTAACCTTTCTGTGCCCTGCACATCTGTAAAATAGGGAAAATGGTGTCCTACACGTTGTTGTAAAGATTCAATGAGTTAAGAAAAGATACTTAGAATCTTGCCCGGCACATAAGAAATTCTCGGTGATGTTTATTAGCTTTATTATTATTTTCTCCCTCTACTCTCCCTTGATATTCTCCTCAATCACCATGGAGGACAAATATCAATATTATATAGTTGGTTCCTGAGTCTCTGTCTCAGGAACTGCTCTCTGTTCAAAGAGCCACCCCTACATTTCTAACTGTCCATGGGGCACCTTTGTCCTGATGTCTAATCCATACCTCTAATTCAATATTCCAAAGGCAAAGTCACCATATCCACAGTCCAGAGCTACCTGCCCCTGAGTTTGCTACTGTTACTTAGAGGCAGACTTGATCTTCTGCTCTACCCATTCAGGGTTAGTCACCAGGGCCTGCAAGAGTTACTTAATAGGGCCTTTCGTACCTATTCCCTTCCTCTAACTCCTCTGTCTTCACTCCAGCTCTACCATGCTTTTCCTGACTCGATTCTATCTTTTCACTGACAGCAGACTAGTATTTCTAACATGTATTTCCAGTCATGTCTACCTTCTAGTTACATCTCTCTAGTGGTTCTCCATTAACTCAAGAAACTGAATCTCCACTCCTCTCTCTGGTTGTCAAGGTCCATCCCAAAAAAACTCCTATCAATCATTCTAGGCTTTCTGGAAATAACATGCTGCGTAGAATCTGTATTTACTGTTCCCTTTGTGCTTCTTCATGCTGTTCCCTTCACCCAGAAATCCTGTATTTTTTTCCCCATTACTGTTGGTCAAACCCTGCCTTCCTTTAAGGTCAATCTCAAATGTTAGCTCCTTTTCAGATTTTCTCAAAATAATATGATGCCTCCTTCTCCTGAATTCCCACAGAGCTCTGCATTCATCTACGGCATGTGTCACACTCTGACTTGCTTCGTAATCCTTTGCATACTTCTTTTATTCCTCTTTTCAGATCATAACTTCTTCAGAGGCACTTACTATATATCCTTTAAAGCTTCAAATGGGAGAAAATGAATGGCAATAATAGCACCAAGAATTAAGCCTGTTTATTCTGTAAAGCAGCAGCCTGTTGTCAAATGCTAACCCTCTTCCTCACGGTCTTCATAAAAAGAATGGCAGAGCATATAAGGAAGTTGCACACAAGAGGAACACAGAGTGTGAGCAATTATGCCAGTTCCTTTTATAGGAAGAACACAGCTGAGACAAACAAGGAAGCACATTATTTACCATCCACAGGTCTCATTGCCAAATTCTTCCACTTCTAAATTTTTCATTAAAAGACATCAAGGAGGGTAATAAACAAAAGTAGCCCTCGGGAGGAATCAGCGTAATGGAAACAGCTTATTTATCAGCATGGCTTCAAGAAATGTCTAATTTGTTTTTGTAACTGCCATGTTCTGGGGCCAGACACTTGTGTTCATGCACACAGGTGCACGTACATAACGCATATCGTCTCTAGGTGTGAGGTGGGCGGGTCAGGCTGGAGTCACTTACCTTCAGGGCATCCTGAGTGTCATCCAGACAGTAGACACGGAGGCTGTACTCCAGAGAGGAGCAGCAGAGTGGCCCGAAGATGGCCAGCTTCAGGCGCTTGGCGGCTGCTTTGGTGGTGGACTGCCCAACCAGGGAGTAGGTGCCAAGGTTCTCGGAGAGGAGGTGGCAGGCCTCTGCGTCCAGCTGAATGTAGCAGGGGGTGGTGAAGTTTTCCTCTCCGACCACCACCACATCCTGTGGGACGAGAAGGAAGGGGCAGGGACTGAGCCTCCTGGCTGCCATGACGGTGGCCAACAGGGGTGCACAGATCAGGACTTCTTCTCCCAAGTTCTGATTATTCCTTTTCCTACTCTTTTTTTCTTTCTCTGACTTTATTATACTTCTATCAATATTTCCATTCTTAATCATTCTCTCCCTTACTTCCCTTGCCTTTATGCTGATAACATGCTTTATTTAGAAGATCTTCCTTTAGTCTTTTTTGATCTTCTAGGAATCTACATTGCTGGAATCTACCTAAAATTCCAAAAGAAATGTATAAGTTATCCTTTTGACTTCAGCATATTTGAGTTGATTATCTGTTTCTGATAATTTGCTTTAATCTCTAAATTGCTAATTTCATCCAAAAGTACTATCTTATTTCAATGTCATTTTAGCATAGTATTTTCCCCTAAAAATCTAGGGGTTTGAAAAGAATTTTTAAAAAAGAATTAGGGAAATTAAAGAATTATGCAATACCATTCTACTAAGTTCTTCCAAACTCACCCATCACTTACTTTCCAAAGCAATACACTGCTTTTCCTCATAATCTGGGCTCTTGGACTTTGCTAAAAGCACAGCATGGCAAACTCTATGCATTTGACACATTATTTTTCTGTTTATTTTTCATGTAAGCCTTTAAGCAGTCTCACGTTTTAGATTGTTAAAATTCAGCAAGAAATAGAAATAAGTGAAACTGATGAGTTTTATAAAAATAGTTACTAACTTCACTAGGTTTTGATTTAACCAAATGACTCAGGCCATAGAAGAAATCATCTGAAAGACCAAGCATAGAATCCATAAAACAAGGGTCACAATTCCACATGCCTCCCAGGGCAGAACGGTAACAGAAATATGTGAAGCAGGTAGGGCAGAAGGTAGTAAGGAGTGGTGGAGACTGTGGTGAAGCAGAGCACAAGCCTGTCTAAAGAGCTCAGTCTCCGCTGGCTTCAGCCATTGCGGCCACGTAGGGATGGGCTCTCAGTACTTTAACCGTAAGCATCTTTGCCGGAGGCATTTTTGCCGCATAGCTGATTGGCTGTACAGCAATTCTGCTGTAAAAGATGAAACAGCAATAAATAAAAGAGGGACATTAACAAAAATAAAAAAACATGAAAAATGAATAACAAAAGTAAAAAGACTTTATTATGAACTACAAAATATTTAAAAACATTTGAAATGTGTGTAGATTCATGGCAGTACTGTGCAAACAAATGATTTCATTTAGTGGGTTGTACCTAAGCACTTGTCTTCAAAGTCTTTCATTTGTAGTATTATACATATTTTTGCTTGTTGATTCAGCTCCTCATTTGGCATTCCACTTTTCTTTTTCGCTAAAATTTCTTCTTCATTAAGAGAGGTATCAGTTTCCACATACTGGGATGCATTTATAACTGAGCTTTGTATTATGGTGTGAAAGCCTCTACACTGTTGTTTGTTCTTGGTACATATTGTTACATGTCCCTTGACAGATGTTCCAAAGTTCTATGGGACATGTGGGCTCGACTCGGTGCCTTTTTGGCCGTTGGCCTCTTTCAGATTTATGTAATATTAAAAATGGTAGTACCGTGTCAGTGGAGAGACGAAACCAAGCTGTCAACCAGTTGAAACCAAACTGTCCACCAGTTATTTTATCTTTTACAGCAAAATTGCCTTAAGGCCAATTAGTTATGTGGCAAAAATGCTTGTGGTAAAGATGTCTATGGCAGAGACGCTTACAGTAAAAGTACCAGGCATGGCAGGAATGCAGGACCAGTGAGGACACAGCCTTTAGTTTTTCAAGAGAAGCTGTAAGTTCAGATTATTATGTGAAATCTTCCAACTTTTAACTAATTCAAATTTAAAAGAAAATTTCATTTGGGAGAAATAAAACCCATGTGTGGGCATGATTCGGCCTCTGCATTAGGCTACTTGATCTCTGCAAAGGCAGCAACCATAGCTTCTTTGCTTCATACTGTATCTCAGTGGGCCTGGATCATGGTGAACAAATGGTTATTTGTCAAAAACATGAACAAATGTTTCATCATAAATTGAGTCCCTGGGGCTGGACAAAGCTATGAAAGGAGCCACGTCAGGTAGCTGTTTGTTAGTTAGGCCATGCAACATCACCCAAGCTAAAGTAAGGACTGTGTTTTAATAGCATCCATGAAATCATTTCTTCAGCTAAACCTGTGCCCAAAGATAAAGCTTAAACTGAACTGGAAAGGAGAAAAAGGAGCTCAGCACTTCCACGTTTATTCCAGCCCCAAAAGGACACCTGCAGAGAAGCTGCTTTCTCCAGCACGGCAAGGGCAAGGCTCAAGTGTCATTTCCTGATGGCACGTTACAAAAAATCTCCTAGAAGAAATGGTGGAGAATAAAGATGCTCCATGTTCCTGTCACAAATAGAAGAGTGTTTTCATAAGGACTTCCTTCTTCTACTCTTCACATCTTTTTTTTTCTTTCCCTCTTATTATTGTTGCTATTGTTGTTATTACTCAAATCCAGAAACAGGGTTTAGGGTAACAGGCAGAGAATTGTGCAAATAATTTAGGATCCCTTGAGATAAAGACTTTGGGATGTTTTTGAGATAAATCATTTAAACTTAAATGGAATTGAAGTTAGCTCTGGTAAAGTCCACTCTTAACGTAATATATAGCCCTAGACTTCAATCCACGACCTCTGGCAATGAGTGACCCTTCACCTTCATGTGGTCAAGAGGAGAGCACATCCATATAGAGGGGACACTCCAGGTAATCCCAGGTATGCCCTGCTATGCTTCTACCTCCACTACTACTTTTTCCTAAAATATTAGGGGTTTGAGTCTTCATGCATATTTTTTTTTCCTAAAAGAAAAATACTGAGGGACTTCCCTGGTGGCGCAGTGGTTAAGAATCCGCCTGCCAATGCAGGCGACATGGGTTCGAGCTCTGGTCCGGGAAGGCCCCACATGCCACGGAGCAACTAAGCCCATGGGCCACAACTATTGAGCCTGAGCTCTAGAGCCCGCGAGCCACAACTACTAAAGCCCATGTTCTGCAACAAGAGAAGCCACAGCAATGAGAAGCTTGTGCACCGCAACCAAGAGCAGCCCCCGCTCTCCGCAACTAGAGAAAGCCCGCACACAGCAATGAAGACCCAATGCAGCCAAAATAAATAAATAAATAAAAATAGAAAAATACTGTAAGTAATCACAAAATATATCCAACATGCATATTGGATAATGCTCTTTATAATGACTACACAAATCATTTATTTTTTTAGGTATTAGGTATAAAATATTCATGGTAAATATAACACGTCCTTTTGCACTTAATTTCAGGTGCTAACTGCAGGGTTCTGATGTAAAGAACAGGATCTGTTTAAGGCACTGTCCTTAAGAAGTTCTGATGGCAGCAGTTACAGAGAGTCAAGTTGCCAAAGACGTTCTTCATTGTACTGGAGCTTAGGATACACCCTTCCTGTTTTGCCAGGTTAAGTTCAGACCTATATTCCTGGGACCTGTTAGCAAGTAAGTGTCTAACATTTTCTGACCCAGGTGCAATGTTTCTCTACCTGAAAATTAAAATAATAAAATATATATATATAGTTTCCCTTCCCAAGATAGTATGTATATGCAAATGGAACTTATGTAAGACTCTTAAGTACCCCTTCCCTATGAGTTAGCTAATGCTTGACCATCTTTTTCTTTGTGCCTATCAGTCAGTAGATAAAACACTCAGGAACCAGTGTCTGTCTGTCTGTCTCCCCCTCTCCCCTCTTTGTCTTCCTCTCTCTTTCATTTTGAGTATAAGCTAAAATTCCACTCATGTGTTGCTTTAAAAATAAAAGCCTTCCCACAATTGCCCTTGCTTATCTGCATGGATTGCTCCTGGGTTCTATCTTTATCCCAACAGAAGCTCACCTCCCACTGTCCCTGCGCTGCCTGGTTCTTGAGCTGTATCTTCCAGTCCTCGGTATTGGGATCTGCGCAGTGATGCATAGTGAGGATGACAGGGCGGGTCAGCAGAGCTCCTGGAGGCCCACAGCTCACCACAGGGGTCAAGAGTGTCTGAGAGTCCTCCATGGGCGGCCTAGGAGGAGAGCAGAGATCTGCGTCATGCAAGTTCCATAGTATTTATGTACTACGTACTCACTGAGATTTCAGATCTAAAGTTGCACAAATAGCTTCTTCTTGGAGTTTTTGTTGTTGTTGTTGTTGTTGGGGGCAGGGGGCAGTGGTGGGGTTGAGGCAGAATTAAATGGGAAGACATGCACTTTATACCAAGACTTTGATCTTGCAAGACTTGAGGTCTCTCTAATAATAGTGAATCTGCCTGCGTATCTTTGATCCCTCCCTTCAGACACAGGTCTGCCTTTGCTAATTTCCTCTGAATTCATGTACTGATACTTTCAGGATGGAATGAGAAGGAATAGGGTCCTTATGAAGTTACATAAGCATCTTTTCTGATAATACTTGCCAGTCGTTTCACAGAGTTTTACATACTTCCGTGTTTTTAGGACCTAACTTGAAAAACACTTCAAAAAAATCACTTTAGGCTAAGGACACCCTAGAGCTAAACTTCTTCCAAATGACTTTCAGGAACAATTCAGGCTAGTATAGCAGATTCATTTTTTTCAAACATGACCAAGAAAGAATGTAGAACTGTATTTCTACAGCAATTTAAAATGATGTTTCTCTACATGTATACTTCATACTCAGAATGTGGGTGGAACGAACTTCAAAGATCCAAATTCTTTATTTTTACATGTTTTTTTTTTTAAATTGCCTTATTTTTTCCCCCAACAAGATTGTAACCAACAGCCAATGAATAAATTAACCCAAGCTGTCAGTTGATATGTGAGGAAGTAGCCCCAAAGTGTTGAGTGGATTGCCCCAAGTCTCACAACTAACAAGCACTGGTGCTGGGACTACAACCAATGCCTTTGCAAAAACAATACAACTATGTTGTCAGAATAGTATGAGTTAAGAAATCCTGGACTCACAAAATTTTAGAGGAGGAAGGGCCCTCAGGGCCAACAAGCACAGAGCTTCTCTACAAGATGCTGACATGTGGTTAGTGCTTTAAACTCATCCAAAATTGCAGTCCACTACTACTGAGGGGTCAACTCATCTGTTATCAACTCAATACTTAGAACGAATACAATCTGTCTTCCTGACACTTCTCTCCACATATCCTGACCGGCTTTCTCTCCACTTTGGCATGAAAGAGCCTCTCAAGCACTTAGAGATTATTACGGTATCTCTAAAACGTCATCTTCTTCCAGATGAAAGCTCCTCAATTTTTGCAATTTCAACTAGAAAAGCATGGTTTCTTGATCTCTCCCTATAATTCTATCTTTATTTTCATAGAGATGTCTGTCAGTGTTTCACTATCTTCCCTAGAGTGAGGCATCTTGAAATGAGTGTAAGACAGTCACCCCTTAGTATCCACGGAAGACTGGTTCCAAGGACCCCCCAGCAGACACCAAAATCCCTGGAGGTTCAAGTTCCCTATATAAAAGGGCACAGTCTTACATAAAACGGCATATAACCATTATATAAAAATTATATAACCATTATAAAATTTTTATAACCATTATAACCCAAAAATTATATAACCATTATATAAAATGGAATATAATCTATGCGCATCCTCCCACATACTTCAAATCATCTCTAGATTACTTATGATACAACGTAAACGCTATGTAAATAGTTGCCAGTGTGCTGCAAATTCAAGTTCTGGTTTTTGGAACTTCCTGGAAAAAATTGTTTTTTCCAAATATTATTGATCCAAGGTTGGTTGAATCTGCAAATATAGAACTCACAGATACAGAAGGCTGACTGTTCTCAGGTATACAGTATAGGGGGACTACTGTTTTCTCTGCTTTGGGATATGGAGTTATATCAGTGCCTCACGAAATTGTTGCCTTAGATTAGTCTCAATTATTTATAAGTATTATTTAGCAGAATTGAGTTAGATGGGAAGATAAGAGAGAACATGGTTAAACATGTCCTTTATAAAAGGAGGCAATGAAGCCCCAAGAAGGTTAAGTAATTTGTTAAAGCTAACCACTATGTATTCCTAACATGAAAGGCTCTTAGTCTCTCTTTATAGGTCTGTGGTTGCAATGATGGCTTTTGAACCTATATAGAGAAATTTATATTTAGCCATCTAATTTTACTTTAATTGTTTTAGGAAAATTTTCAGGTCATCTATTTCTTAATGCTATGTCTTTCCTCCATATATTGGCTATCTCTTCTAGTCCTTTATCTTCCATAAATTTGATATGCCTGCCATTTACGTTCTCATTCCAATCACTGATAACACTGTAATACAAGAACAGGGCAAAGACAGAGACCTTTTCAAGGACACTACTTGAAACCTCTCTCTAGTCTGACATCAATACTTTGAGTTTAGTACAGTCAAACATAAACCCATTAAAATGTACATTGTCCAGTTCGTATCTTTCCATTTCATTCACATGGATATTACAAAGGTCATATCAAATTCCTTTACAATCGCCACAGTCACTTGAAATGGATTTTCCTCTAGTCTTTATTTATGGTTAATATATAGATACTACATAATCTAGAAGTTAGCTTCTATCTATGGCTTACCCTCACTTAACACTCAAGGAATGATAGAAGCTGTTATTATTTTTTTAATATTGTTGGAAAACTATTCTCCACGGATCTCTCATGTTTCTGCATGGTCCCGACAGTCTTTCAAGACAACTGTATAGCAATCTCCTTGGAAGATAAAGATAGTGCTTACCTCTGGAGCAAATGGCAGACATGTCTACCTCCCATTATAAAACCCTCAGGTTCCCTAAACTCAATGGTATATTCCTGGAATGGAACCACTGAGTGTGTAGATGTCCTCTGACTGTCTTTACATCACCCTTTCAAAACTTGGGAAACTGGCACAAAAATGGAAATACTTTAGATACTGCTATTGCTGTGAGCAATAAAGTATCCTTTGTCTCTGACTCAGGAGTCTTGTGTCATTTATCAGCATCTACAAAACTGTGGCAGCCAACTTGGTAGGTCACAAGTAAGGTCAAATCTTAGAAATTCCTAAATTCTTGGTGATTATTATCATCAGTTCTAAGAACTCAGTTAAAATTTGGCATATTTTCCCCTTAGTAAAACTTGGCTATCAGTGCTTCTTCTTTTATTTTAAAGTTTCACTAGAATCTCCCAACCTGTGTCTTTCTTTTCCTTCTATTTAGGAAAATATTTTAAAAAATTATCTCTTTTTAGTCTTTTAATATCATCTCCATTCTCACTGAATAATAACATAGTTTTATTAAATCTAAAGTTATCAAAGTACTTGGAAATGTACTTATACTTGGAATTATAAGGTGAGTGGCAGCTTGAGAACTCATTACTATCCCCTTTTGGTTTTCATTTCCCCTTTACGCAATTTGTCCTCCTTTGTTCCAGTCTGAAATTCATTCTCTTAGAACATGAGTGAAGTCTTGCTTTCATTGTGCCATAGTTGATATTACACTATCCGCCTTGAACAGTAACTATACTCTTGTTTAATTCTACTTTTCCTACCGGGGCAAAAAAAAGCAATGGCTGCATTTTCCTGAGCGCTACCCTTACCTTTTAGTTACAAGTGTACCTTGAGAACGAGCATGAAACTTTTAAAGAAAGAGAGTAAAGTGGAATCCATTTCAAGTGGTCCTTGCAACAGAGTTGGGGATTGGAAACATCTGTCTCTCAGTCTGCTGTTAGCAGCGGGTGCTTGAGGCAGGAGGAGGAGGGATTCTTCTCATCACTGAGTTGGAACAGAAGGGAGAAGACTCCCTGCTGCGCTGGGGTGCCGTCAGACCTGCACTCCCCTGGCATGCAATACTGATGGGCACCATTCTTGGAGGAGGGATAGCAAGGGAAGAAACGGGCAGTAGGTGTCAAAAGAATTTATTAACCCAGTGAGGTGCAAGAATGTAATGAATAGGGAATTGGTGATGTGGAATTCATAACAGGGAATGGAAAACAAAGAAGTAATAATGATAAGAATCTTTTTGGGTTTTCAAGATGAAAGAAGTAGCACTGAAATTGGAAACATTTCCAAGCATATATGGAAGGAGCCACCTAGGGAAGGTTAAGATTTAACTACGTGAAACCAAAGGTCAGAGCGTTTAAATCCACATTTCCTTTATTTACATAAAGGGAGGATATTAAAATACATAAAACAAAAATAGTATAAAATAAATATAAAAAAATCTGTTTCATGTTTTTGCAGAGGAGGGCTTTACTTCATTATGTCTCATGTGTTTTCTAAGATATTGAAGCAAACATTCTGTAAATATTAATTGCAGATGATATGGAAATAAACTGAGAGCAAAAATTAGCTGCAGAAACAGCAATTAAGTAGAAATCCAGTAATGAACAATGATCAAAGTTTTAAAGGCTTTTCAAAGTCCAACAAGGATAATATCGTGATAAATGTCGGATGGGTTCTGAGGACTCTAGGACAAAGCCCTCGGAGAGGAGTTTTAGTTTGCTGTCAGATTTTCTTATCCTTTGCTTACTGTTATCAGCGAGGACAACTCCTCCTACACATAAGTGCACAATTCACAAAACTTTCATAAAAGCTATTGCATTTGCTGCCCAAGGCACACCTGTTAACGTAGTCAAGGTAAGTGTTTATATTACCTTTTTTTTTTTTTCCCCAAAAGAGGAAACTGAAAGCTAGAGAAATTAACACACTTGCCCAAAGCCACAAAGCTAGTCATAGGCAAAGCTAGGATCCAAAAACAAGTCAATTGGTTTCTTTCACACATTGGTATATTCTGGGTTGCTTATCTAGATTTACGGCCTTGAGAAATTTCTGTGATGTTTGCTACGGCAAGCTCAAAACTGCTTCCTGAAAAGAATCTTTCTCCATCTACCTCTGTGTAGAGACGAGATGCCTTCTATTAACACACATGTCTTTTGTCAGGTCCCTCAGGATGACAATCCCACCCTAGGCTCAGCTGCCTTTTAAAGCACACAGTTTCATGTATAACCGGCATCTTGAAATACTTGCACTCTAGGTATCTGACAAGGAATATCTAACTCGCTCGCTATCAAAAG